TAGTGCATAACTTTTAAATATTTAGTTAATGAATTGTAATGATAAGATTAGTTTTGGCATATAGATATGAATATATTCATTGCATTTGTATATGCTGATGAATTTTCACCGTGTATAAAGAAAGATTGAAGATTTAAGGTCGAACTATTGAGCCGCCAAATTCGAACCAGAAAAGATACGTCTAAGCTAATGCTGAGCATTAGGCCATACCTTGGTGTAAATATTATTTACACTAAAATGTCTTCCACAGTGAAAACGTTCTCTTGGTCCTTTAACACAGCAGCTATCGGGAACAACGGAATCATTCAAGACGGTGACTTCTCTGGCATACCTGGAGTCTCGCCAGTCGGTGTAGTTGTACCAGCCGCAGCACTCCTCCTTGAAATTAAAATTACATCATGAAACTTTTGACCATGGTGGTAGTATTTGTGTTTCTATACAGAAAGACGCTGCCGTTTTCAAACGATCTAGTTGCAAACGTACTTCAGTATATTTCCTTCAATTAGCTACAATTCTGATCTAAACTCCTCTTTTGGTGGGAGGTTGTGGCTCAAAGGCTTTAAAATACAGGGCTCCAAGACACCAGCAAAAAGGGCACCAAGGAACAAGAATCGGCAACTTGCAATTGTCCGGGCTCCAAGAGGAGAAAGGTCTTGGGCCGACGAAAAGATCATTTTCCTTACCTTTTCTTGCAGAGCATCAATGGCACTAGAAGGGTCGGTTTCTATTCCATAAAGTTCTCGGATCGCCTTAACCACGTCATCGGAAAGTGTATCCTTGATCTGCAGTGAAAATATTAAAATTCAATCAAATAAATAAGAAATCGAATTCGGTTAATTTATTTTTTTATAATGTAGCATCTAGAATGCAATGCAGTCAGTTACAATAAACATGTAACTCATCATGTTTATATTAATTAATTTCTTAACTATCTATTTTTACGTGTTTTATTTATTAAGACTTTTATGATACTGCACGAATTCATTATCAAGAGACTGATCTAGATCATAATTTCTTGTTATCATGCAGTTAAGTCCGCATACGAGCCAAATGGCCCATCNCGAACCAAGCGGCCCATCAGCGGAGCTTATCCCGGTTTCTGTAGCTTGAAGCGACAAGGAGTATTACTACTCCCCCCTGGATGGGATGCTAGTCCATCACAGGGTTACACCAAGCATTAAATTCGCTGGTACTCATTTATACACCTGGTTAGAGAGAGGCACAGTGACGGTAGAGTGTCTCGCCTAAGAACACAACGCAATGTTCCAGGCCAGGGCTCGAACCCGGACCGCTCGATGCGGAGACGAGCGCACTAACCATGAGGCCACCACGCCTCCACATCATGCAATGTGTGCTAATTCTTGTTGTACATGCAAGTGTGTTTGATGCAAACCTTGCCGCGATTAATGTATCCTAAAGCAGCTCCGGAAATCTGTATTCCAAGAACTCCAAGAAGGACAAGAAAAACCTACAACAAGACCTTCAAATAATGTTTTTTTTTTTTAACTCAATGAATTTCAGTAACTTCATTTGTAGACCTCTATACCCTACGCTTTAGTACATTGATTTCTCAATAATAGTGAGTATACTATGCATAAATTTGCAATAATTATATTAGGTGGATACAAACATTATACCTTTGTTGTGGAAGCTTCTCAGGTGTAGCAGTTGTGGTGTTTGTCTGCTGCTGTGTTCCAGTCTGCTGCTGATTCTGATTCTGTTGTTGATCACTTGCTTGTGCTGTNATGAAGGACTGTCCAGTCCCACATTCCCTTTTCAAGACCTTCAAATAATGTTTTTTTTTTTTAACTCAATCATTGGAGAAAGCGCATTTTTCAAATTAACTAAGAAACGATATGGGTTTATTTTTCCTTCAGCTCTGCAAGTTGCATTGCTTTACATTACAGTGTACAGTATGCCAAAATGACCACACTACAACCCCCAAAAACGATTTTTCAGATTCTTACACATATGAACTTGTATCTGTTTTGGTTCGGATTTTGCCAACAACCGCATATATGCAAAAATGCTGTGAGCACAATACTGATGGATCCAGCGCTAACTGCAAGGACACACGCTACTGCATAACGAACTGATGGCGAGATAGCGGTGTAAGAGCCGAACTGTGTGTTACTCCATTCCCCAACACTTAGCAACACGACGGCAAATACCTGGCGAAAAATAAACAAGAAAACTATTTAACAGATTTCGTTCTTGTGTTAAGCCAAAGAGGTATTTCAAGGTAACAAGCGGTTAGGAGGAAAGCATTATCTTTAGCAGAAAGGAGGCCAAGCGGTCTTTAAGGGAAACCTGCCATTACCCACCTGAAACTGGCCAAGTGAAAAATATGGAGGGGATGGGAGGGAAGAACGAAGGGTGGAAAGGAGGGTGGGAAAGACTAAGAGAGGGAGAAGAGAGTGACGGGTAGAGAAGAGAGAGTAGGAGAGAGAGAG